AGCGCCCGGCGCGGGGCAGCAGCCAGGCCCCCCCTTCGCCCCTGCTCTGCCACCCCACCCGCCCTCCTCCCAGCCCAGGCGCTGCGGGGGGAGGCTCGCCGCCGTGTCCGCTCCGCAGTGGTGGCTCTTTGGCCCCCAATAAATCCAGCCAGTAGCCCAAAAGCACCTTCGCCCATCGCCCAGCCCCTGCCCGGTGCTCGGGTGGATCTGCCCAGGCTCCCCCCTCCACGGGCAGAGGCTGCCGGCCCCAGGTCTAGAAGGGCAGATGCCACCAAGAAATCGGGTCTTGGCTCTCATCTGCCCGAGATCGTGTCCCCTGGCTCCCCCCCCTCCCCAGTTGCCTCTTGGGGGCACGGCCCTGGCCCTGCTCAGACACAGCCCCCCCCAGCCAGGATCTGCCGGCCTGTTCGGGGACTGAGCCCTGCACCGGCTGCTCCATCACCCCAACGACACCGCTCATTGTTATCTCATTTCCTATTAATTTGGGTGTCAAGAGAAATTCCATTCATTCGCTTTTAATTAATATGGCCTTAAAATAAAGCCGGGGGGCTGGCAGGACTCTGGCAAGAGGTGTCTGTAGCGGTGTTAGAGAGGATCAGCCAAGACCAACACAGGGAGGAGCACTGGGACAGGGAACTATTTATGGGACTGAAGGAGACAACCGGAGGGGAGGGCAATGCTGCCCGGCCCCCCAGTGCCCGCCGCACACCCAGGCACCGCCTGTGCCCGCTGACTGCCACATCCGAGGCACGAGAGGCTTCTGGATGCCCCGATGAGGTCCCAGCCAGGACCGACCCTGAAAACGCCTCTTTGCAGCCAGAGTGGGGCCCAAGGCTGGGGAAGGGGCTCCCCGCTCCCAGCAGAGCGGAGGGGACGGCGCCAGCGGCCGCCCCAGCCAGTGCCACGCGAGCGGGTGGAACACGGGACGGGAACCTCAGCGGGCTGTGGCAGGAGCTCGGCAGGCTGTGGGTGCACGCTGCACCCCGGCGATGGGCTGATGCTCCCCAGCTCCAGACGGGCCTGGTTTGGGGGAAGCATGAGGGAAACAGCCTCTCCTAAATCCACCGGCCAGCACAAGTCAAAGGGGAAAAGGAAAGAGAACCGGGGGGTGGGGAGGGGGGGAAATCCCAACAAAACTACTTTTGCTGCCCTCAGCACGAGTGCCCCGAAATACAAACCTTGAGTCACCAGAGCTCAGTCCCTGCACTACAGACTGCACAGGCAGCATCAAGCCTACCACAAGCTCCAGACACGGAGGTGGGAATTCATCTCGCCCAGCTTTAGACATCTGCGACTGAGTTACTCATCGAGACTCCCTCAATAATCCGAGAAGAAACAGACCCACATCCTAAAGCATCTCGTCTCCCTTATCGAGGGACCCCAGCTAAGCAGTGCACATGCAGAGATCCTCCTTTCTGGTCCCCACGTGTCCGCGAAGAACACAGAAGGAGCAGATCCAGAGAATCTGCAGCAGAACAAGTCATTTGTCATTTGACTGGCACAAATCTTCCATCTCCATATGCTCAGAGGGCAAAGCTGTAAAACAAGTGGCCACAGGAGCCCTCAGGGGGCAGGGGAGAAGCTCCTACCTGGAATGGTGGCACCAATACCAGGTTCAGAAGGGGAAAGGGTCTGGTTCCTTAATGCCAGCTCAGGTTTGCACGGAGAAGCAGTTAAGCAGCTTTTGATCTGCCTCCAACGGTGTGCAGGGCTGAGCCCGACCTGCAGAAGCCAAGCCTGCAGTGAGGAGGCTCTGCATGGAGCGGCTCAGGTTTAATTAAGCCAGAGCAGGCTGTGCCTGTTGACGAGCCCAAGGCAGGACAGGCGGAAGGGCTCTCCAGCATGTGCATCTCAGCAGGGCGAGTGCCTCCCTCCCGCCTCCCCAGCAGCGAAGCCAAGAAACGGTTCCTGCTTTAATTATCAGCTTCCTGGAGGAAGGGGCTGGCTGCTGGCAGCGGCTGGAGCCCCCGGGGACACGCAGCCCCCCGTCACTGCCCTGGCTCTGAAAGCCACCGGGCCACGCGCCCCGCACACAGATGCCGTGCACGGGAGGCTGCACGGGCCAGGCAGACCCAACCACTCCCGGGAACAGGCAACGCTTCCAATCCTTCCTGCTCCCACCTCCCCTCCCGGCAGCGCGTTCCCATGCAGGGGAGGGATGCAGGCACGTTCCGCATCCCCAGCACGACTCCAGCAGGAATCGTTTTGCAGAGCTGCCTCGGCGCCACATCCCTTACAGAGAGCACAGCAGGGAAACCCGCACCCACAGGGGCTGGGGAGCTGCCACCCCGGCACCAGTGCCACAGCCCAGCCCCAGCCGAGTGACAAGGCAGCAGAGGTGGCAGATTAGTTTAACCAAAGGTGCCCAACCTCAACCCGTCCCCCAGGCACACGGCAGAGGGACAAGGACTGGTACAACACAGTTCCTTGTGGTGAGAAGCTCAAGAACTATCCCACAGCCTCCTCCTCCTCACAGAGCCCCCACTGCAGCCATGAGAGAGGATTCCATCTCCTTCCTTCATCTGTCTTCCTCCCCTTTGGTTTCACCCCATTCTAATTCCTCTTCCCATCCACGTCCCAGATTTTTGCCACCTCTTAGTTACTCATATTTAGCGCACAGCACTAGTGAACAATTCCAGCGCTGCCCGTCACCCGGGAGGCATCGCTGCACGGCCACATCCCCGCTGCGGGTGCCAGGGCCGTGGTCTGGGGCAGACACAGCTCCTGTCGCCCTCCGGCCCCACGCCCTCCCCACCAGCAGCACCGAGGAGTTTCCGAGCAACGAGACCCCTTCAGAGGCTCCTGAACAGTCACAGGTAGAAACACTAAAGGGAAAAGTATCCTTGGTGACAACAAAAGGCAAGGATTTATAACAGGTCAGTAATAAGTTGTTGGGAACTGGAGAACATTTCCAGCAAACGGCGAGTGAAAAAGGAAGAGATGTGTATGAGTTTACTCAGGAAGGACACTCAGGCTCTAGTCCCAAGTTTCTATTAAAAGGAGGTTTCATGCATTATGAAGCGATTTCCCCTTCCCTAGTTGATAAGCCAATTAGATAAAGAGCAAGTTAATCCCTCACTGTGTTCAGAGGGCCACAAGCAGACACCAAACGCAGAGATTAGTCCGTTTGTTCAAGCCCCTCCCCAGGTTTTGGCAGCGGAGCGCATCGCCCAGCACAGGCCAGCGCCAGCCCCAAGCAGAACAGAGCCCTGGGCTGCACTGGCCCGCAGGGAGGGCGGCAAGGCCCCCGCGCCGAGGCAGCCCCCATCCTCCCCGCAGCCCCTGGAGGTGACTTTACCCAAAGTGCTCCGGGGGCAGGAGCTCACCTGCGCTCAGAGGAGAAGCGCAGGGACGCGCCAGCTCACGCGCACAGTGATGCTTTTTGTCTCTTTTTTTTCTTTAAGGTTAGCTTTTTCCCCCACTTCACCCCTCCAGGCAGGGGCATGGCCCCCGCAGCGAGGGGGCTGCACGGTCCCAGCTCAGGCCCCACTGAGCCCAGCGGGAAGAGCCAAACCCTGCTGCAGACCCAGACCCGCAAAGCCTCACGTTCCTGCTGAGCAACGGGGCTCAGCGTAGCCCAGCTCACGCCTTTTGCTGCAGAATCTCTACCGCCCAGCACCCAACAACCCTCCCGTGGCCAAACACCGACCAGAAGTGCACAAAACCACCAATAGATCAGAAGAGTTTAAAACCACAGACACTCACTTCAGCTGCGCAGCCGGGCCAGAAGGAGCTGCAGTCCCAGCTGCTGAGGAAACCCCTTCTCCAGCGGGACCCTCCCCAGAGCACGAGCTGCTCCGCTCCCCAGCAGACCCTCCCCTGGCACAGCTGAGCCAAATGTGGGGCTTGAGCATCACCGAGATAAATCTGCAGCAGGAGGAGCTGACCCAGAGTTTGGGATGAGCCTCAGCTGGTCCTGTGGCACCACAGCACAAGCTGGCTGCTCCCTGGGCCAAGGTAACCAGCAGGAAAAGATGGATTTTTCTGGTGTTCTGTCCCCTAGAGCTAAGAAACAGCTGCCCACAGTGTGTCACTCGTGCCTAAATCTGTGACAGGCTTTAGAGGACCCCGTCCCCGCGGTTTAGCGAAGTTGCTGCTTCACACGTGGGTGGAAGCAGAAGCGGATGAATCCCCGTGGCTCCTGGGAAGAGCTGGGGAAGGGCCAAGCCCCATCCTGACTAGTCCATAGCCCTCTCCCTACCAGTTAGGGGGTCCTGCAGGGCTCACCCCAAGTCCAACAGCCTTGGCAGAAAGGGAACGGAGGGTGTTTTTGCTCAGAGCTGAAGGCAGGCGGCTGCGGCGGGGGCACGGGGGGTGGTTTTAGGGGGCTCCCACCCCAGCAGACCTGCGCGTGCAGGCGGCTGCTCGCAGTGAGCCTTTCCTTGTTAAGCCAGACTGAGGTTCCTGCTGCAGGGAGAGTGCTGCTAATGACACAACTAATACTCCTCCCTCACAGGAGGTCACAGCCAGGGTCCCCTCCCCATGGAGCGGCCTTTGGCCTGGGCTAGTGGAGCCACTGGCTTGGCCACCGAGACGGGTGAGGGCGGCAGCAGCACCACCAGAGGCCGTTCCCACCGGTTTGATTGTTTCTGGGGTCACCAAGTTGCATTTTAGGAGGTTCCATCTCCAGGCTGGACCCTCGAGCCGAGGGACACGGCCATCTCAGGAGAGGTTCTGGACACAGAATCCTGTCGGCAGCCCCCCTCATTCCACACCCCCCCCCC